GTTCCTTTAAAGGGATCTATAGGCTTTTGGGGTTTTAGGGTTTAGGGGTTTAGGGGTTTAGGGGTTCAGGGGTTCAGGGGTTTGGGGGTTGGAGGGTTGGGTGGTGGGGGTGTTTTGTTGGGTGGGCTTAATTCCAAACAGGGTTCTAGGTTTGAGGGTGTTCATGCATTGGTTTCGGGGGTTCGGACGGGGTTGGGGTCCGTCAAAAGGTGGCCGTTAGCAGTGCTTGGGTTCAGATAAATTCGGGTCTTGGTGCCGGGGATTTGGGCTGAGGGCCTCGCTTGAAGGATGAAGGGACTTACTATCATTATAATTATCATCATTATTATGATTGTTAGTGTTACTAATATTATTATTAAGTAGGTCACAACAAGGAGCTTGGCAAGGTCATGGCGTTGTGTTAGGTTTCCATTGGGCGTCCATGTAAAGCCAGGTTGGTTCCTGGGCCTTTTTGATTTGCGCACCCTAAACCCTAAACCCTAAATTTGGGTTTATAAGGGGCCCTTTATATAAATCTCTTCAGAGGGTTTACAGGCTAACCCAGAAAGGTCTGTTCCCATCCCTAAACCCTAAAACCCTAAATCCCTAAACCCTAAGCCCTAAACCCTAAACCCTAAACCCTAAACCCTGAACCCTAAACCCTAATAGTTCATAATCGGCTCAAGCAAGTGCATAAACATAAGGGGCACTCCTTGGCACAAGGGCACACCAAGACCCTAAACCCTAAACAGTTCTTGTAGAAGCCCGTGCGAGAAGACTCTTCATCTCTATGGGCTGGCTATGGGCTCCCAGGCTATTTCAGGTACAAGCTGTCTAGTCTCATTGTGGACGTATTTACATACACACACACAAAAACATATATGCATATATATATATATACATGCATATATATATATACACATACACATATGTATACATACAAATACATTTACTGTATGATATATAATGTAGAATATCGAGTAAGTAGGGCTGGAATACTTGCTGGTGCAGCATGGGCCCTCATCTCGGCCGGTGCGCAGAAAAACGTACGGGACGCAGACGGGCGGACGGCTCTCCCAGAGACTCCAATACCCCTTAATTAAGGAATATACCTTAAATCTTATTAGGGATCCTACTATAATTTAAGGTATATTCCTTAATTAAGGGGTATTGGAGTCTCTGGGCTCTTGCTCGGACTCTTGCGCCAGGGCACTGCGCTGGTGCAAGAGTCCGAGCAAGAGAGCCGGGCAGGCATCCTGAGAGGGAGGCTGCATGGAGGGAGAACCCAATACCCCTTAATTACGGAATATACCTTAAATCATAATATTAAGGCCCGTATAGTTTAAGGTAGATACCTGAATTAAGGGGTATTGGGTTCTCTGGGTTCTTGGGCGTGGAGGAGCTACGACGCACAGAGGCTCAGGAACAGCTCAGAGCTGAGCTCGGAGCTCTTGAGCCTCTGTTGAACTGGGTTCTTGTTAAGGGGTTTAATTTAAGTTACCATAATAGGGATCTATAGTAAATAATATGGTTATAGTAAATAATATGGTTCCTTATAATTATTATGGTAACTTAAATTAAATCCCTTAACAAGAACCCAGTGAACCTCATCTCTGCGGCTTATACGACAATGATGTGCAGAAGGTCGTCGAACTATGGTGCACCTGGGCGAATCCCAACAGTGACTGTTGGGGTTCGCCCATGTGCACAATAGTTCGACGACAGTGCCACGAGCGATGGGAAACATGCGCTCCACTGCGCACTGGCTCGTGGCCAGGCAGCTGCTGACTAGGTCACAGCCGCCTGGCCACGGCGGTGTTTACAAGGCCGACGTTTGGCTGAAGGAGGACGACAAGAATTCTTTGGACGTGCTCTGGAAGTTGCAGCGCAAAAGCCCGGTTCCCTCGACCTCCTACTCGAACTTCGTCACGACCAATTCAAGGACTACAGAAACGATGCAGGCTTGACGCTGCTGATGTTGATGTTGAAGCAGGCATGGACACGGATGCCAGAAGCTCGGATGGAAGCACCGCACTCATCATTGCAGCCTGGGAGGGCAAGACGGATTCCCTCAGAGAGCTCCTGGGCAGAAGCGCAGAGAAGGACTGTCAAGACAATGACGGCCACAGTGCACGGATGCTCGCCATGCAGCATGGCCATGAGTAGTGCTTCTAGGAGTTTCTTGACAGGGGCACTACAACGGGCCTGAAGAACATCGCCGGTCAGATGGCGTTCGAGCTGTCCGCCGAAAACGCGAAGTTCCGGCAGATGCCGAGCCCGACAGCTTGAGCTCTCCTGTAGGGCTTTGCTTCTGGTCGTTGGCTTGCCAGCACCCCCCAACTACCCACTACTATACCCTAAATACCCATTATTAAGGACCATAAGGGCTCTATTAAAGGGTACTTGGGGGGTGGTAAGGATGCCGATATTGTTTGGATGACGCTGGCAGTGAAGCAGAGTGTCGAGAGCCTGAATCTGCAATGTAGGCAGGCGCGTTTCCAAGTTGTGCCTGAGCCTTGGATGCGCAGCGCGCATGAGTTTGGAGTCTTCAGACACGAAGGCTGAAGTTCGGCTGAAGCTTCAGCGTGAGGCGGGCATGAGGGCATGTGCACTGCGGCCCCTCCTCAAAAAAAGGCAACCGCGCCTGCATTATGCGTGTATTGAGTTTTCAGTCAGTGGTGCATGGGTGTGCCGGGGTAGCTCGACGCGAGCGCTGCACTGGCACGAAGGGTAAGAGAAGAGTCTCACCCAAAAAAGTCAGCCGTGCCTGGTGGAAGTACCTTTCTCTAAGTATTCAATCTGCCCAGGCGTTATGCAAGTTCCGAGAAGTGTTGTGCCGAGTCCGCCAAGATGGGAAGCCCTTCCGCAGATGTGGTGTACTACTCTCAGTCGCCATACGAAATCCATAATCCCCCATAAGCCCCATTTATGGACGGCACCCTGTTCTAGGGCTGATTCCGTGCGTGTAAGGCGCAGCTTGATAAGGCTGGAGGTGTTCAGGGGTTAGGGTTTAGATATGGTTTGGTTTAGGGGTTGAGGGTTTAGGGGTTTAGACCGGGTTTAGAGGTTTAGGGCTTTGGGTTTAGGGGTTTAGGGGTTTAGGGTTTAGGCTTTAGGGTTTGGTGCTTCAAGAGGTCGGGCCCCAGAGTTTTGAGACGAAGGCAGGCGTGACAGATAGGGATTCCCGCAAGGCGCATCCTACCTAAGGTTGAAACCATGGGCCCCTTGTATGGGGCCTTAACCTTGGGACCCTTAACCCTAAGGGTCCATGTACTCATATAGCACATACATGGACCCTAAAGTAGCTATATAGGGACTACATTAAGGCCAATGTATATACTATATGAGCACATGGACCCTTTAGGGTTAGGGTTTCAAAAACGGCCTACGGGTGCATATTAGGGACCCATACTTGTACCCCTAGGTATTAACTGTAGAGCCAAAACACCCTAGCAAGCAGTACCTATAGTCTCCATGGTAGCTCCTTTTTTTGGCTGGCAAAGGGTATATTGGAGGATCTTTACCGTAAAATTGGTCAACCAAAAAACGAACTATATACAATGGAGACTATAGGTAAGGTATGACCCCGGACAATGGGTTGTAACCTCTTGGGCAATTGGAGCCACACGTGCTACATCCTACATCATACCATCATGCTCCCTGATCGTCACTGTATGCATGAAATACTTGCAGCATATTTACCCCACAAGAAACCCTATCTACAAATATACGCCCCCTTACTATACCCCACAAAAGACTGTACAGAAAGCGTGCGGGAGCCCTGAACGGAACCCGCAGCAGAGTCCCGTTAAGACCCTCACCTAACCACAATGGAACAGATTAAAGACTCATAACAACTCATAATACCCTCAACCCTAACTATTCCGGCCGATATTTTACCAAGCTACATGCTGTTCAAAGTGCTAGCCGACTAGCCGAGGTCTATTTTATCTTCTCCGGCAGGCCAAGCTGTGCAACCATGTGGGGTGTAGAGCTTGAGGGTTCAGGATTCAGCGCTTAGTGTGTTGAGTGTTGATTTTGGGGTTTTGGGGTTTGAAAATTTGTTGTTCAGGATATGAGGTTTGGGATATGGAGGTTTGGGGGTGGAGGGGTTTGGAAGTTTGGGCTTTAGATTTGGGTTTCGGGTGTTGGATTTCAGGTGTGTTCGGCTTTAGGCTGACCTGCACCCAGTGCTCGAAGAGATGCAAGGCGGGTTTAGGGTTCACAGAGAGCCCAATGCTCCTTAACTAAGGAATATACCCTTAAATCATAATATCAAGGCCCCTATAACTTAACGTATATTCCTGAATGAAGGGGTATTGGGCTCTCTGGGTTTGGGGGTTTAGGGCTTTCGTGGTTTAGGGTTTTCGGGGTTTTAGGGGTTTAGGGTTTTCGGGTCACGATGTGAGGGGTGAAAGCCAGAACGGATGATGGACATGGCCCCCTGCCATTTCAATTTGGCTTTCGACACAGGCTACACACACACACGCACACGTTTTGTCGCGAGGTTGACAGCAGACCATCAAAACACATCAATAGCACCAGGAAGCAATTTGAACCAAGCACTGTCAGAATGGTTCAAAAGCCCATAAGCGAAGTCTGAAATCCTCAACCCTAATCCCTAAATTCCTTAACCCTCAGCCCTTAAGCCTACAGCCCGCAACCATGATCCACAGAGCG